GGATGGTGCGGAGCACATCCACAAGCTGCGTCGCACGCCGGCTCTCGACTGCAAACCTAGCGCACTGCAACCCGAGACGCCAAACAACCTGCAAAGCCGAGCCCCAACAGCACATATGGGCCCCCACCCGCTCTGTCCGTTTGACAGCAACTCTGCATCGAAGAGATTCCTGCTGAGATTAGCTTTCATATTCCAGGGCTAGGGTGTTGCTGAGTAATGACACTCACATATTGTCATATTGTTGATGGTCTTGTGTTCGCCTTCCGTTGCGACCAAGGCAAAGCAGATCAGCTTCAGGGGCCATGACGCACAGAGGCCGCGGGCCAACGCGAACAGTAAAGCAGTAGTAACAGCAATTGTGGCGGTGATAGTCAATATAGCATTGATTGATGATATTTACAATGTCAGGGAACGGCCTTCCAAAATCGATGCCTTTCAATTCACGACAGTACTACGACTTTGAGTTTTTACTACATGCAACCCCCAAATTCGATCCCCCAACAGCGAAGGGATCACCCAAAGTATCCATGGCACCTGATTACACAAGGAGTTTCGACGAACGCTGATGGGGGTGTTTTCTGAAGTTACGCGGGTTCCTGGAGACCCCAAGGCATTTGCATGCAGTACATCAATAAATAGGGGGTCATGGTAGTTCGTATTATTCTATAGCAGCAATTTTGAGAAGCTGCCTCGCTTGGGGTGTAGTGCCCTTTAAGACTTCCCTGGTCCCGAAGAAGGTAGCCCGATGGTTTAGGATAAACGCCCATATTTAAAGTCCCATGACATGGAACATCTGAATGCTAGAGTCGCAACCGAATACTGTGACTACGATTGGGGCATGCGTGTGTTGGGATGTTCTTTTGGTAGTACCATGTCCGCAGACCGGTGAGCATAGAGAAGCTTGTCTTGTTGCAGGGGCCATCCCCCATGCCTGGGCCAGCGGAGAAGGGCCTGCAGCATCGCCAAGGTGGTCCCACGCTTGAGGCTTAAAGGTGGAACTGCTGATAATTGGCAACTTGCTGTCGCAGGACGCCTCGGCATGTGGTAGGGTCAGAGCAGGAGCCTGAGGATGCCTAAGGATGCCTGAGGGGAAGTGCTTTTGCATATGTTTGCCATTCTTGTGCCTGAGTTCCTGAACGTTGCTTGGTTTGCGGGAGCCATTTCGGACCCAGCACGACTT